CACGTCTCCCAAAGGTAATATCGCAATGAAATCTGGTTTAGCCTCTCAACCCTGTCCCAACTAGGGACTAACGTGCCCCCCTCTCCCCCTTTCCCCGTGGTTATCCTTGAACCCATCGTAATTCCCTCTCCCCCAACCACTCGTACTACGATACATGCTGTGCGTAACGCAAATTCATGTCGCCGGGGTATTCTCTGTCAAATTAGAACGGATCATAATGCATACATTATGGAAGGCAACGTGGCTCCCACTTGGATCATCTCATTCTCCGACAATGTGTCCAGATGAAATTGCATCGGTAAAATCGGCTCGTTCTTCTTTACTCGAGCCTCGAACCTCGCCAACTATCTCATTGACTTTTAAACTTATCTGACTAATTAAACTTGTCTGCGAGTAAACGCACGGGACAAAATCATGAATTTATATTTGGAACTTATATACTGACGAGATGTTAGAATTTGTTAAATTTTTGTCGTTTAACTCTTTAGATTTAATAAACTAGCGAAAGAAACTATAGAGTCTTATAGGCTCATTCTAAAGACAAAAATTCCAATTTTCAAGATTATAATGAATCAAGTCATGAAAAAGATTTTAATATTTTTTTAAATGCTGGCTTTTTACAATTTTCAAGAATAAAAGTATTTTTAATATATTTGAATAAACGAACTAAGGATGGAGTTCAAAGTAGAAGCTTCATGTTTTAAAATGAGACGAATAAATATGTAGATAGTTATGTGATTTTTTTTTTTTTAACGTTATAACAGTTTAAAATATCGATAATTTTTTCAATTATGCTTCTCACTCTGTAGGACTCTGCGATTTTCAAATGGACGAAGAATTTTTACTTGTTTGAATATTCCGATTTTCTTGTCGCGACAAAAGAAAGAGCGGAGCCTGGAGAGATAGATGCTTACAGTTGCGAAGGAAAGCGGCGAAAGATTATTTAAAATACATGAATATTAATGGCCCGCGAACACCTTTCCGTTTCCGCAGCAACGTGAGAAAGCCGGTAAAGGAATTTGTAACATTCATTATGCCACAGAGATAAAAGCAAATTGAGGAACAGTACACCATTTAAAAACTGTAGCTGAACTAATGAGACGAAATTCTTTCGTGTTCAAGGATCAAGAATATGTTAAGAATATATTAAAATATTCAATTAAAAAGTATCATTTGTTTTATGAGAATTTTATAATACTTTATAGGAACCAACAAATATTGTAATGTAGAAAATTCGAATTATAAAACTTAAATTTATGAGTTCTTGTCGTAATTGAACTATACAAAAGGCTACATAATGACATTAAAAAACAAAAGAACATTAAAGAAAGCATAATACGAACTTTAAGTTACTTTCTCTAAACATTGTAATTAAAACGCTGCCCAATATTTCGGATTGGGTCGATCGGGTTCGAACAAAGAGTCGATTGCATCGAGTCAGATCCTGTAACCCTTTAATCTTCGATTATAGTCAAAGATTCAAGATATGAAACAATCGTTAGGAGAACTAGACTAACTAATCGCGTCTACTCGATGATAGATACTGTCTACTTCATAAATGAACAGCGCGTTGAAGATTGATATACGAGCCAAACATTTACAGTGTGAAAGTTTAATCGAATTCAAGTTATCCTGAACGTAATCCACGTGTAATCACGTGTCAACTCATTCTCCATTCACGCTACACTCCCGCATGTTACTTTTAATTAATTAAAACATAGATCGTTTCTTGTTTAATTAAAACAAAACCCTTTTTTTTGTCAACTTTTCGAGCCCGAAAACTTCAAGAAATGTGATGACAACTATCCTCGCAGCACGCATTCAAATTGCAACACAACACTCTGCAGTAATGTGGCTGGGGAAACATCTGGTCACGCCAACAAGTTAAACTAAGACTGATGACGGAGTCAGACAGGAATTTCAGTCACCATAGCGGTGAACCGCACGAATCCCGTTCAGTCTTTCCACCTATCTACGAGGATACCGCCTGGTAGCATACTTCCTCTTCAGAAACGGATCGACAAGTTAGAACTCGTCAGAAGCCATGACGAATATTAATCCCATTTCCTTCGGTCAACATCCCGGTCAGCTTTCTCTTCTCCTGGTGTATTCCGTAGAAATTTTCAACCCCCTCCGTAGACGTTATTGCAGTCACGTTAGGAGGGTAAGTTACCAATAAAAAGGCGACATTTCACGCCTCGGGCACTGGGTATAAAATCCACTACTTTTGTGGATTAAGGGAACGCGAATTTGACGATCTCCCTTTTCAATTATCATGGCACGTTACTGCCATGATATTAAATCTTACGGTAAGGAATCTCTACGGCGCGGCGATAGAAATCGAGATGTTCTATTTCGTATTCTTTGTTTAAAATCGAATGAAACGATACGCAAGAAGCGCAAACTGAATGCAACGATCTGCTTCATTTAAATCGTAATTTCGTCCTTAAACTTTATCCAGACACTACTTGTGTAATTCTGTTCTTGAAATCGAATTAACAAATTAACAATGATTCGCTATCGATTAACAAGGTACACTTTGTCGCAAGAAGGAAAAAGGAGAATAGAGGGTCTATTATTCGTTGATACAAAGGAAAGCTTGTAGCAACCGAGACAAAGGTACACGGAGAATATTTTAAGATTTGGCGAAAGAACGAACAAGATGACAGGCAAAGATAGAAAGGGATGATCGGGATTGAGAAGATGGTCGCGGCTATCCCAGAAAATGGTATTAATCAAATGAAGCGGTTTCTGTTACAAGCGAGGCGAAGATGGGTCTGAGCTGCCTGCCGGTACCCGGGGGATAATCAATCTGGAGAATTAGATCAGATAGCTGGTTGTACGTGAGCCAACTCCGTCTTCTTAGATTTATCCAGTCGCCAAGAAGCCTGATAAAGTATGCTGCACTGCCTCCAATATCGAATAAATTCTGCGCTTTTGCTTATCGGTGGGATACGATCGTTCACAATTTTCTGTAAATTTATCAACTTATACTTGACTTTCGAATAATCGTGCTGTCAACGCATTTGAACCACTTTATACTACTTTTTTCAGCGTCGGATTAAAATGTCACTTTACTACTTACTAAATCTCCCGCACAATAAAAAATTCAAAAAATATCGAGTAATTATAATTGCACATCGTTTTCTCTTGTTATTTTAGCAAACATCTCAAAAAATTTTTTAAACTACAACTTGCAATTCCTACAATTCTGTTGAAAAGAAGAGCGCCATCCAGAGAAAATCTTGCAATGTATTATAAAGATAAATAATAACAAAAAAAAAAGAAAACGTTTCTTCTCTCGCTTTAGCTCATCTCACTTTCACACGACTTCTTTTAAGCATGATATATTAGGATAGCTTGGTGCAACACTCTCTCAAAGTTGCACCGTTTTCCCACTGTTACGCAGTTCTCGTAGTCAGATGCCTCTTTAAAATTTATGTATGTTACTCTCGTGGATGTCATTATTGGCTTGCAAGAGAAAATGTTTACAATTAGGAACTGTATGTAATTCTATGCTTCCAATACGTTCTACCAAACGAAAACTTCCCATGGCGAATAATTCAAGCGATCGTTGAGACCGATTGCAAAAAGAATCTCAAATAAGTAGCTTATCCTTTTGCAGCAGTTCCTTAATTAACATTTGGTTTTACATCAAAAGAACTTATGTAAAGTAGCTTTCAGTTATTTTAATAGGAAATGAACATTCTAGTTTCGTGGTCAAATAGTTGTCGTAGTCGTTCCAAGTTCCTTCTCAATTTACTATGTATAGTTAGTTGATGTCATAGACAATGATGAATTCGCGTTTTGTAAGATATAATTCGTAATCGTAATTCGTAATCATAAACTGACAGCATAAATTGTAAAGTAATTGTGAAGTAATTGAACGAAAAATACTTGTGGCTTAAAATAACGTGAAATTAAGGGGAACTTATAAAATGATTACAACTGATGGATAAACGTCGTCCGAAATTTTATTACAATTCTTTTATTTGATTCTAAATACAATTGTATTCGTACATTCATTATACTTCCCTAATAAGAAATAAAATCTTCCATTAAAATTTCTATTAAAATTAAAGATTCCATTTTCTATCCACTAGTTATTCGTTTGAAAATCCTGCCCTAATTCTCCTGTATCAATCCTGTGATAATTCTTCAAAATATGTAATCCTCGTGAGAACGAGACCTTTATTGTCAATACAAGTTTGCATAAAAGAATAATTTAGTGAGAAATGAGAAAGAGATAACCGCAGCACTACTCAGCCAATTAAGAGATACTTATATCTGTCTTAATAACACATTAATGAGTAGTAAGTACCGCACAAAATGCTGCTATTACGCGGTACTACGTGATTAAATGAAATCATTACTTCTTAAACGATTCATGTGCTCTTTAACTCTATTAAGAATATATTACGACCTGATATACTTCTTAAGACAATCAAATGAGAATTACTTTCGTCGACTTAATTTTACGAAAAATAAAGTTCTAAGATTGATACGTTTGCTAACCATTGTAAAATAAAGCAATTTATATTACAAAGTCACGTTCAGTATAAGGCGCAAAGATTCTCGTTACACGACAACAGGACGTTTGGTATTTTGATTGCTCATTAATCTAATACTAACATCGTATTGATTACGCTTAAAATACATAAATATAATTAACAGCTAACTGATTATATAGTGGAATAATAATTAATTAATAATTATATTCCTTTATGCATATACGTATATAAATATGATCTATTGGAATTGAGACAAAATAATATTCACCGAAGATAATACTATTTACCAAAAAATACATTTTCTTATGTTGATATAAAGATTGATTAGTTTGATTTTTAGAAAATTCGCATGATATTTGAAATTTTTGTGGAAGAATCTGAAATTTACACATTTATCACCTTTCACATTATACTTTATATTATGTTTTCTCATGTATCCTCGCATCGATCATGTTACGATTATTACAGATATTGAATAAGATATTGAAATCAAGGAATATGTCCCTTGAATTTGCAGTCTTCTGTGAATAATTATCAATATTCACAATTTTGATATATCTAAATGCATTGAAGCACTTATTAAACACAAGGTTCTACATAATTTCCGGGAAACAAACCCGTTATACCATCCATGACTCCCTCCCACCATCCATCGTCATTCTTTTTCAGTACATAAATTACAGAGCTTTCCTGGAAGCTCAACTCATCTTCTTTGTCAGCATAATAATCATATATTGCCACAACTAAAACAATAATTTGATTACATCTTAATATTACTTAGATATTCTATAATATAAAAAATATTGCGACATACCTTTCTCGATATAGTTCTTTGGAACCCAACCAGGGAGATCTTCTTCATCTGGAACAATAGGCATGATAGCACCGCTAGATTGTGTAGGCCTACCAAATTGTGGATGTTCTTCTTGCTCTGGTGGTGGCGGTGGTGGTAATGGTGGGCTATTTGCACCACTACTTCGACTAACTTGATGACCTAATCTTTCTGACAAAGTGTGATAATTTGTAAAATCTAACGTATTGCCAGTTATGCCAACTAACGGTGAAGGTGGTGCTAAAAATGAAAATTGATCTTAATTCCTTATATATATATTACTTAAACTTAATTTCAATCTAAATACTTACGAGGCATACTATTATGTTCTTGGACATAGCCTGCTGTTACACTAGGTGGTGCTGGTGGTGGTGTTTGTGGATGACTTTGTAATGGATGAACTGTTCCTACTTGAGGTGGTGAAGTATGTTGGGTTACAGTGTTTGTATGTGCATTGTGATTGGTATTATGAGTTGCATGAGATGTAGTATGTGCATGTAAAGGTAATGTACTATAACCAGGGCCACGTTCTCTTCTTGGATGACCCAATGGATAATTAGGAGCATAATGACTAGGAACTTGAGGTGGAGCAACTGCAGGTGGTGTTCTGTATTCTCGTGATCCTTTACTCAATGTTCCTAATGTAAAAGCAAAGAAATTTATATTAAATAGCCTTATAATAATAAATTTATATTTATATAATTTATAGTTCAAAGCAACTTTGTATATATATTCTTTTTGTATCCTTATAATAATAGATTTATATTTATATAATTTATAGTTCAAAGCAAGTGTGTGTGTGTGTATGTGTGTGTGTGTGTGTGTGTGTGTGTGTATTCTTTTTGTATTTACCTGTTCTTACTGTCTGAGGAGGAGTAGGTGGTTTAGTGGTAGGAGCCGGTCCTACCATAGCTGCACCTAATCCAGAACCAGTGGAAGTTGCTCCTAAACTTTGTACACTGCCTTGACTTCCACCACGTTGTTTGCTCCTTGGAGTACCACTACTACGTACTCCGTGTCCAATATCATCCAAGATTGTATAATCAATGCTTTTTCTTACATATTTAATTGGTTTCTCAGGATTTGCTGGTGCAATGATTTTGTACTGACGTACTGTGATTTTATTAGCTGTTAACACTCCAATCTCTCTTCTAGCTACTTTTTCTTTGTGTATCATAACTGTTTGAGCAATATGATTCATTTGACTTTCCATCTCAGCAAGCTGAGATGTTTGTAAATCCAATAGTTGCAAAAAATTATAAGCAAGGGTATTTATTTGGTAGGCTACACTAGCCAGTGATTGAGTAGTAAAATTTTTGGTTTCTTCTAAAGCTATTCTCTTGTTTTCTGCTTGAAAATAGTTAGCTTCACAATAATCAGCGACCCTCTCAAGATTTATATGATTGTCAGCCAGGTTGTTTCTTCCCTCAGGAATTTCTTGACCAAGAAATGCTGCTAATTCTGCCATGACTTCAGAATCACTGCCTACCCCTGATGATACACAATAAGAGCCTGATCCTTAAGAGAACCAAAATAACATTTAAAAAGATTTGTAAATTTTATTTTATGCTTATGTAGATGACATTCTGGAGTACATCGTAAAATGATTATACTTAAAATAATACTATATGCAATGATCGAATTAATAAAGTAAAACACAAAATTATGAATTTGCACAATTTTGAGGTTATGTAACTTTTACAAGAAACTCGTGAAAAATTTTCCAAATGACGAAAATAATATTAATATAATAATAAAATGCCTTTATAATAATTTTATATTGCTCGAACGAAAAAATAAAAAATTACTAATAGCTGTTCGAAGGGCGGTGTCCCATATATAGGAAGCAAAATGGAGGAGAAACCAAGGCTAATCATAGAAAATGAAACATCGATAAATGATTTGAAAATAATAGAAAATGAACTAACGGTACTCAGCCATGTCGTAACTACCAGCTACTACACCTTCTTTAATTCATAATTACCAAGAATCTTAGAAACTGATAAAAAATAAATAACAATTGTTAAGCGACACGACGTTCAGTATGGACGTGTAATGCACCGAAACGCTATTGGACAGCGTTCACTGCGGTTTCCTCGCAGTTAAACACAAGTGTTCTGGATTTTGGTTAAAGTGGCACGAATATGATTGTCGTACACTCATCAAGTAACAGACTAGCAACGACATATTAAATACGATACGATTGAAGAAAGGAAGATTGTACAAAAGAGAAAGGTGATAGATAGTTCGAGACCTCGTGTGCTTCATATCGATTACTTTTTCGAGACATCGAACATTACAAAATATAGTAATTATCGTAATTCATAAGGACTAGACCAGTAGAAGAAACATCTAGTTAAAATAATAAGTTGGAATATTGGATATTCGGCATATTGTCGAATATATGCAAAAATTTTTGTCAAATTATTATATGTACAATATACGCTTGGCAACAAGTAGCATACTTCTTTGTGTAGAGTATTCAGACTGTTCGAAAGGTTTCAAGTTCATAAATATCAACAGTTATTTTGTTTATTAAGACGATCAAACCGAAAGTTCAACTGAAACATTACAATTTGGAAAATGATATGTTTTGTGTATATCTGCGACATTAATAAATCATTACGAAGAAGTTGATTCACAAGGAAGTAATTATTATCTTTTTGCGGACTCTTAGATTAATTCTTAAAATGAATAATCTCCTAAAAGGATTGGAATCTCTAAAAATTACAAGTGATATTTCTGAAGAAAACTTATGGACAGGATGCATTGATCTTATTCAAAAAAGTTATGTCTCTGAGATAGCTGTTGGTGCTAGTCGTCCATGCGAGGAAAAAGATTTTAAAGAGTATAGACAAATTATAGACAAAAATTTGCAAAATATCAAATTTATGCTTCAGCATATCATTCATTGTCGTAACGAAAAAAGCATACAAATAAAGTTAGACACATTAATAGTAAAGACATTTACGATTAATTTATTATTACTCATTGGAGAACAACATGAAAAAAATGTTTGGAACACTGCAGAATCTGTATTTATGTCTAAAGAGCTCCAAAGCGAAATCTTGGCGTTATATAAATATGAAAGCATTTCGCAACTTTTAATGGAACAAGATAACTTTATCACAGTATTATTAGCACTAAGGCCTAAATTATTGAAAGATACTTGGAAAACTTATCCAGCAGCTGTCATATGTTACAAATGGATTTTATATCAAATCGAGGTTGATAAATTGAATTAAACAGAGTAAAGGTCATAAAGATAATTACGTATTAAAATTTATGTTGTTCTTTTATAGAAACCAATTTTATATAATCATATTGGTGATGTGCTTCCAACAGCTTTAATAATTGTTGATGATTATGTGCCAGAAAATGTTGTATTAGGTCTTGAATGTTTACATCAAATTATTCAGCATTCTCACTTGGTAAAAATCTATATTATATAAATTTGAGTTATTATATTGTTTATCAATATAGATTACTAATTTAATTGCTGTGATTATTTAGAAGAAAGGATTGGTTGACACTGGATATGCCAAAGTAATTTTTCATGCTTTAGAGAATTTAAGTCATCGAAGAGAAGCCAAATATGTAATTTTGATATATAAATGTTTAGCAAATTTATTAGTTACCGTTGAACATTGGGATAATACATTAAATGTATTTGAAGTAAGTTTAAAAAATTAATACTTATGTATTAACTAAAATATAAACTTTGTAATGTTATATGTTGTTATAGTGGACAAAGAGAGATGATATCTTAGCTGTTCTGTTGGATAATATGGAGTTTGAACAAAATTTGGAATTGAGACATGTGTATATGTTGAGTTTGCCTCAACTCTTAACTAATATTGGTTGTGCCAAGTGGTGCGAAAGATTAACAAGAATACTTTCTGAATATTGTGAACATCATACAGATTTAAGAACATTGAAAGCAACATTGGAGGTAAATATATATATATATATATATATATATATATATATATATATATATA